CTTATCTGAAAGAGCTGCTTACGCCTTATGTACCCACTAGAGAGCTCCGCTCATCCGATAGTGGCAAACTCTCGACACCACGTGTTTGCCTTGAGACTTACGGAAAGCGCACTTTCACATTTGCTGGTCCAACAATTTGGAACGCCCTTCCTGTCGATCTCAGAAACAACCAGACACTGGAGTCCTTTAAAACCAATTTAAAGACACACCTATTTCGCAAACACCTTCTGGGATGATTGTCAACCGTATTTTCCAGTTAATGCATAATGGCTGTGTTGCTTGGGGTTGAAATGGCTAGAAAGACTTTGCAATTGTATGCTAGTAGTTAGTTTTTGTAGTGTTGCTTTTGTTTTAAATGTGGTAAATTATAGATTTGTATTTTGTTGACTTTGTACCGCGCTTCGAGCCTTTGGGGATGAAGCGTGCTTTTGAAATGAACTTTATTATTATTATTATTATTATATGTTCATACGTCAATATCGAATAGGAACATCTAGTTTAAGGGGTGGGGGAGAGTCATGGTGAGTTCGTAGGTGGCTTGCTAGTCCGATCCGTGGTCGGAATAGTCTCTGGTCGCGTCGGCAGGGGATAGTTGCTGTAGTCGGTGGTCTAAGGTTGCTTTTTCGGGCTAGCCTGCGAGTCCCAGATGTCGCTATCCTTCTAGCTTCATGAGATGGAGCCCCCTTCTTAAAGCTGATCTCCACGTGGCTCTGTCCTGAGCTGTCTGCGCTCTTTCAATATGGTTGATGCTGAAGACCTTTTCTGCTGCTTTCAGAGTCTGTGTAACGCTGTTTTTTGTTGTGTTTTTTTTTTTTTTTGACTTCCTAGGGCGCGCTTGCTTGTCGTATGTTTTCTGTAGAATAGCTGTGTCCTTCAATACGGGCTAAGTGTCCACCCACCGGAGTTGAGACCGCATCAGGGTGATGAAGATATCAGGTAGTTTTGCTCTATATATAGCGAGGACCTCCGTGTTAGGCACTTTGTCTTGCCACCTGATGCCTAGGATTTCCCTGAGGCGGGTTGTGTGAAANTTTTTGTTTTTTTTTTTTTTTTTTTTGACATCCTAGGGCGCGCTTGCTTGTCGTAAGTTCTCCGAAGAATAGCTGTTGCCTTCAATACGGGCTAAGTGTCCACCCACCGGAGTTGAGACCGCATCAGGGTGATGAAGATATCAGGTAGTTTTGCTCTATATATAGCGAGGACCTCCGTGTTAGGCACTTTGTCTTGCCACCTGATGCCTAGGATTTCCCTGAGGCGGGTTGTGTGAAAGTTGTTTAGTCTCTTGACGTGACGCTGGTGGACTGTCCACGATTCACATCCGTAGAGCAGTGTCGGGAGGACTGCTGCGCTACAGACCTTGATCTTCGTTTCTCGTCTGATACCTCTCCTCTCCCAAACAGGGCTGCGGAGTCAGCGAATATTGTACTGGCTTTTGCGAGTCTGGCATTCATTTGGTCAACCGTAACGACAGATCTGGAGGGGGTTGCTGCCAAAGTAAGCAAATGTGTAAACCGCGTTTAGACGCTGTCCCCTGATGATGATGATAAACCCTACGTTTGACCCAGCATCGTCATATATATATATATTCAAAAATTTCATAACAAACATATTTTACTTGAAAATGATTCTCGAAATTTCCGTTTCAGTACAAGGGTCCATTCATTTTCTAATTGAGAATCCCCCCCAGTGAGCACTCGCGTCATGCGTGCAATATCACAAACAAGAGAAGAAGCTTATGAATCTATATTTTATTGCATCCCGTCGGCCTCATTAAAAATCAATACAATACATAATCATACAAGTCTATAAAATAAAACCGTCCCTCTCCCCCCCCCCCCCCTTTTTTTTTTTAATAAATGTGGGGCTTTGACTTTATAAATTGAATAAATGTGGGGCTTTGACTTTATAAATTGAATAAATGTGGGGCTTTGACTTTATAAATTGAATAAATGTGGGGCTTTGACTTTATAAATTGAATAAATGTGGGGCTTTGACTTTATAAATTGAATAAATGTGGGGCTTTGACTTTATAAATTGAATAAATGTGGGGCTTTGACTTTATAAATTGAATAGATGTGGGGCTTTGACTTTATAAATTGAATAGATGTGGGGCTTTGACTTTATAGATTGAATAAATGTGGGGCTTTGACTTTATAAATTGAATAAATGTGGGGCTTTGACTTTATAAATTGAATAAATGTGGGGCTTTAAAAAATCAAAATATTGATTTCAGCTATAATCTATCGTATTGACATTCCATCTTAAAAGACCGTTTTCTTATATGAACGCTATCTAATGTGAGGACAAACCGTGTCGAGGCCGGTCTATTTGTTTATGCATATTGCCGCTGTAATGCGCCGCGCGAGCATGGTATTGTTGGCTCTGATGGACCGGGATCAACGGTTGATATTAAAAGTGTGGATTGTTTCAGAAGAAGGCTGAATCATGTATACGAGCAGACGTGTTACCAAGAGGATCAATGCAAACAAACTTCATATCAAACCATTTTTGAATTATTAAAAAACCAGAATTGATTTCGAAGGATCATTGTTATTTCTTTCTAGCCAATGTCATTTTCTCTCTCTCTCACTTTCTGTCTGTATGTCTCTCTGTCTTTCTCTCGGTTTGTCTTTCTCTCTCTGTCTCTTTCTCTCCGTTTGTCTGTCTGTCCGTCCCTCTCTCCCACCCCTCCCTCTTCCTCCCTTCCTCCCTCCCTCTCGCCATGCCGCTCTGTCGTACACAGTCAGTCGATTAATTTTCGAGCCATTGTTTTAAAACACGTCACATCCCTCACCTCTAACCACACATTATTACGTCATCAAAAAATGTGCATACTTGTATTCCCTGACTTTATATTTTATTTTTTTTTAAATTGTGACACGGAAATACGTCGCATGTCGGAGTCTGATGACGTAATATCGTTTAGCTAATGACATGACTTGTATTTTGTTCTTGTGATATTAGCGAGTGAATTTTTTGCTCTTATTTTTAGTTGCAGTCCTTGGTGTCGGTCTGATGTAAAAAGGTGTGTGTTGGAGACCATCAGGATTGGTTGTTTTTCAAGGAATTAGATTTACTTTGATAGAAGCGGTATGAGAGTATTTGTTTGCGGTCACTTGCCGATTTATTGATATAAAAAAAATATAAAAAACTGTTTATTTCCTGGGCATTCTTTGAAAAAAGAGAATATATTTTACTTCACATCCAGGCCATAAACCAAAACTGAAGCCGACATCAGATGTCTCATGTTCAGTTATTCCATGTCAGCTTTACAGAGGCTACAGGTTTGTGTTCTCCGTGGCTATAGGGTGGGCCACGGCACTGTTGAGACTTGCACCCACGTACATTGTTTGACGTTGGAACAAGGACCACTCACTGATCACTGTATTGAGCTGGGCATTTGTAAATGAAGCTGATCTATTATTTAAAGTAAAAACCTAACAACTTACAACATTTTCTGAAAAATAAATCAAATTAATATATTTTAACAACGATGCATCTCTAACATAAAAATATTTTTTAGAAATTTGTTGACTTCACATAAGAACACGACATAATTTGTCATATATAACAATTATGTAAACATCTAAATTATCCCTTCAAATCCCTCCTATCGCCTGACTCTCGCCAAGTTTCTTTCTTCCAAGAAACAGATCCAAAATAACCCCAACAGCCGTTAAGACATCTGGCACCAAAATTAATGCAAAGATCAGACCGGCTATGGCAATACCGCCACTACCTATCGTCTGCGCCGAAGGTCGTTGGTCGTCTGCGCTTGTTTTGGTCAACCTGTACGACAAGAGATCCGTTTTCATCACGAGCAGTTCCGCGCGAGTTTCAGATATTTCTCGCCGAATATCCAAAGGCGTTTTTTTCCCACCGAGAAACCGGCAAGAGCAAGGACACGAGTTTTTGATTGGTTTTCTCCGGCAGGTAACGAGATCGTCGTCGAGGGTGAACCCGATGTTACACGAACAAGTGTATGACCCGAGTGTGTTGTGACACATGTGGTTACACGGATGAGTGCTGCACTCATCGATGTCATGACATGTCGAGTTGTCATTGGTGTCAAGAACGAATCCTGGGTTGCACGTACACGCGACGGAGATGGTGCAGTTATGCTCGCAGTTCAGTGTCCCGTTGTTGCATTGGTTGATTTTCTGACACGTGACGCGGTCTGACAACAGTTTGTAACCGTCTCCACAAGTGCATTTGTAACTTCCGTCTGTGTTGTTACAAATTTGTGAGCAGTTTCCATTGTTACGGTCGCACTCATTAATATCCAAACACGTGTATGGCTGTGGGTTGTATCCAATTGGGCATCCACATACATATCCACCATTCGTGTTCGTGCAAGCTCCAAGGCAAACTGTCGTATTGATGGCGCACTCGTCCACATCCACACACGATGTACCATCGGAATGGATGTTATATCCTGTCGGGCACGAGCAGGAGTATGAACCGTATGTGTTGGTGCAGTCCCCTTGACAAGGTGACGTCACACATTCATTCACGTCATCACAAGTGTAATTGTCAATGTTCAACTCATAACCTACGTCACAATTGCACTGCAATGAACCATCTGTGTTGTTACAAGTTTTATTACACGGAGAATCGATGCAATCGTTGACACCAGAGCAACTTGTGTTATCATTCCCGAGCGTGAAACCATGGTTACAGTTACACATGTAACCGCCCTCTGTGTTGTTACAGACCTGGTCGCAAACCGTCGGTGTGACGTAACATTCATTGGTGTCCAGGCAGGTTCTGAAGTCGGCTGCCAGGTAGAAACCCGAGTGACAGCTGCAATAAAACGACCCGTCGGTGTTGTTACATAGATGATTGCAAGGAGGATTTGTAACATTGTTACATTCGTTGAGATCCAGGCAGGTTTTGGAATCCTTGGCCAAGGAATACCCATTGTTACAACTGCAAAAATACGAACCGACCACATTGTTACACCCTTGCTGGCAGCCATGTGTGGTGACCACACACTCGTCAACGTCAAGACAAGACGTTGAATCGTTGCCGAGGACGAACCCAGACCTACAGCCACAGGAAAACGACCCGTTGGTGTTCTTACAACTTTGTTGACAAGGATTCGTCCTGTTACATTCGTCGACGTCGGCACAGTGTCTAGCATCGCTTGCGAGCTCGAACCCCGAGCAACAGCTGCAGACGAACGAACCCATCGTGTTGTTGCAGAAGTGCTGGCACGCGCCGGGTGACGTGGCGCACTCGTCGTCATCAAGACATGTTGCGAGTGAGCTTTTAAACGTGTAACCTTTGTTACACCCGCACGTGTACGACCCGACCGTGTTGTTACACGTCTGCTGGCACGGGGAAGTTGACCTGTTACATTCGTTCTCATCATTGCATGTATGTCCGTCCCCGGCCAGGACGTAGCCGTTCCTACACGAGCACGTGAACCCGATGTCCTGCTCTTGGCAGACGTGGTCGCAGTTCTCGGTTCCGTCCGAGCACTCGTTGTTCGCCTTACACAGGAACCAGAAAGTGCCCTATAAACTCGTGTCGTGAAGTCCGTTCGTTTTAAAAGAAGCGTTAACTCCAATTATGGCTCGGCATTTAAAGACGTCTATGTACTATTTGCAATCGTCGTTTGGCTCACCCGATGCCCATATTGTGCTAGAAAAATCTTCTTTTTTCCAATAATGATGTGTTCGAAAGTCCCAGAACATTGACCTTGGATCTATGTCAATCCATATTCCGTTGATAGTGGTTGAGGCTGACTGCAAGAAGGAGTTCAGGTAGTTGGTGACGTTGCTGTATTCTGCGTTTGTGTCGAAGAGAGCCAGATCTGCTTTTATTGAACTGCAATAGGACTTGGCCGTCTTGTGGTCTGCGGTTATGGACTTGGACAGGAAGTAGGTCTGTCCTCCGATCGGCATGTTGTGAAAGTCGTTCGCGGTCAGCGCTTGGACCTTGTTCACTGCAAATAAGGAAATGAATGTTTAAATTTAAATCTATTTCTGAGATCTTTATATTGAGTATTAGTATGATCATGGTTGAAATATGTGAGCTCATAGTTAGTTTATTGAAGACCATCGTTAGTTTACTGATGACCATCGTTAGTTTACTGATGACCATCGTTAGTTTACTGATGTCCAACGTTAGTTTACCGATGACCATCGTTAGTTTACTTATGACCATGTTAGGTTTACTGATGACTATCGTTAGCTTTATGATGACTATCGTTAGCTTTATGATGACCATCGTTAGTTTACTGATGACTCACATAACTATAGTTTTGCATACAGATTCAATTTGTATTTAAAAATCTCATTTCTTTTGGGTCAAGCTTTGCATGTACATGTAAGTGGATATGAAACTCAAATGACACTGACGCTAACCCGATATAGACAATGGCGCTAAATCAAAGCCGAAACCAAAAGCTTAACGAGACCTTCGGCCACAAAGCTAATTACATTTCCCATTGCTAGACATTTCATTTTTGGAAATATTGGACTAGTAAGTCATCACGCGTTCACAGAGGATTTGTCTGATATTATTTGATGACAGCAAGGCATCAAGCAATAATAAATATGGGGTTGCCGGCCGAAAGAGTGGGTGACAAGTTTACATTAGGGTGAAGACCACAGGCCTCAATTCTTAATCACTTTCGACCGAAACCGAAGAAATACCGAAACTTAACATTTCTGTTTCATCCGAAACCGAATATAAATCGAAAGTTAACTGTTATGTTTCGGCCAAAACTGGAACAACGCCGAAAGTGTTACACGCGGCGGCGAGATATACGCCAATAAATACGGTAATCAAAGGGAAAATTTCGGCGCCGAAACTGAAGCCTAAATTCGGTCTTTCTTTAATTAAAGGGCGCCTATTCACTTCAGATGCTTCCACAATTGTCCTATTTCTTTCTCATAGCCTCGTCTGGTACATCATTAAGGTAATAATTTTAAAAAAAAAATATGCGTAAAGTAATATATTGTTTATTTCATTTTATAAAATGCGAATGGAAACATCTCCTCCAAACCAATTCTGTCCCTAAGAAAGATAACCGAAGATTACTCAATAGCATTTTCCAATCTCGATCTGTCTCCCTTTATTTCAGAGTGTCCCATTAACGCATTAAAGACGCCATTTATTGAAACGTGCTGCTAAACAGCCTAGACATATCAATGGTCCCGGAGTTCTGGAAGTCATGTCTTTACAACCATTATTATGCTTTTAGAATTTCATAATTTTTAACTCAATTTTACTTCCCGATTTTAATTTTATGAAAATCGTTTCATGGTGTTTTTGCAGTTGTGTTAAAGTTCCAAGATGCTGTCCCAGTTTAGAAATCATTCCGCTATTCTGGCATGAGCTGTGGGACTTTGGCTCGAATTTGTTTTATAAGAAAAACCTCTTTGTGTCCCAGCTAAGATAAGAACAACTTTTATCTATTTTTCTGATATTTTTATATTCTCATTTTGTGAGTGTTTAAATAAAAAATATTTTATTATTTTTTTTTAAAAAGTTGTTTGTAATAAAAAGGGGAACAAAAAAGAAAGGGCGGGTGTGGCGAGGGTTCACTTGAAACCTCGTTTAAGTAATAAATAAATATAAATATTTAAAACGTCCCAGAAACTGATCATTGCGGGAAAGTATATGCATACATATCTTAACTAATAACGCCACAAGTATAAAATCTACTTACATATTAGAAACACTAGGACCGATTCCAAAACCTTTCTGGCCATCCTGCTAAAATTTATAAAATGGAATATCGAAGGAAAATAAAACACCGAAAAATTAATAAATTAGTAGCGAAATGATCCAACTTGGTTGCTTTCCAGCTTTTCCAAAAATTTGTTATAGGACTCTTTATATTTAGTATAAAAATGTTTTAGACCAAACTTCATCCCCAAAAAGTTCGTTTCGAGCAAAAAAACCAAATAATAATAATTAAAAAAACAAATAATAATAATTTAAAAAAACAAATAATAATAAATAAAAAAAAAAATAATAATAATAAAAAAAAAAAATAAAAATAAATAAAAAAAAAAAAAAAAATAATTAAAAAAAAAAAAAAAAAAAAAATAAAAAAAAAAAAAAAA